AGCATCAAACTCAGCCATCTTAATTGTAGAGCCAACTTAACTGACGTACGATGTTAACAAACAAGCTATTGAATTGAAAGCAGTGTGTAAAAGTATTTATTGTGACTTGTCTTGTGGTGACATGTCATGTTTCTCCTTGTTAGTTGTGCTACTTACTGAGATGTGTGTAATACTTTAGTTGTTTGTGTCAATGATTTCTTAAAACTGTTCACAGTGAAATAAAATAATTCCTCACACATCAGGAAATGTAATGGTAGCAACCTTTTGTGTCATATGATATGTGTGGGTCATAAATAATTAGAATTATCTGTTCCTTTGTCCTTGGTTTATGAAGATAAATAATGCCTCACAGACAGAATGTTTCACTTTCTTCTACTTAAGCTAGGTACCCACCAAAGCTGAGTGGACTCAGTGACGTTCTTCGGATTTGAGCTTGTAAACCGAACCCGACATATTAGTGTTGTTAATTGCTCTACTGCTCAGCCACACCAACACCTAATAATCATCTGTATATATCTACCGTCTCTGTCTCTCAATCAATATCTTTCAATCCTGGAGATTATTTGTTCGAAGAACGAAGCAACGATGTCTTAAGGTTGTATTGATCTCGTCCTAGACTATCTTTACTCTGGTATTCAAATCTTTGACCAAAAAGTACATTCTAAAATATCTCTGATTGACACGAAATCTATTTTCAGCACAGAGGTCAGTGTGAAGGCGAAACAGGATTACCCCCATGACACCGCGGATTGTCACTAAGAAATTTCTGGACAATCGAGATGTCCATCTTATTTTTCTCTTTTGAATTCCTGGGAATTTTTTCTTGCCATGATTCAAGTGAAAACTGAACAGGTCTTGAAAAACAATTTAAACAAAAATGTCATTAGATTCACCGCCTACAGTTCCATGAAATTACGTGTCGTTTATTTTCGTTTAATTAATCAATAATTAAAAGTATGGCTTCTATCGAAATACAACACTATCACAGCATCCAGGATTTTTTCTTCATCCGCCAGATGCCTGTATATTTATGTTCCAGCATCTATTTATGATCGTATGATCGTTACTGACGCCTCAATACAACCATGAGTCCCACATACAACTAGTGACGCCCCAACATCACCGTGAACCTCCCACCCAATAATGACGCCCCAACATCACCATGAACCCCCTCCCAATAATGACGCCCCAACTTCACCATGAACCCCCTCCCAATAATGACGCCCCAACTTCACCATTAACCCCCCTCCCCCACCCAATAATGACGCCCCAACTTCACCATTAACCCCCCTCCCCCACCCAATAATGACGCCCCAACATCACCATGAACCCCACAGACTGCCTTAAAACCCTCGTTATTTCCATCAACACCACCCATTGACGCCCCTGCACACCCCGCACCAAAAACATCATCTCCATCAACTTATAAAATATGCCAAGAAGCAATTTTTTGTTCCATTTTACGATGTCTCATTTTTTCTATGCGCCCACTTATTTGGTCGACATACCCTGGGCTATATAAAAAACCAGAGAGCCGACAGAACAGTACCATAAAATGTCAGAACCTCCCCATCTTTACGGCATTCATAAAAAATGTAGATTGCCTTCAATCGCTACATTACAATGAAGTTTAAACACCATATAAAACGTTGTAGTTTTTGGCGTGGTTTGGCTTGAAAAAATGGAAGTGTACTTTGTACTTAAGTGCTGCAAAGATGGAAATAAATTTTTACTCGATTGAACGCTTTAATAAAATGGTAAATACGAAAATAGAAATTATTTTAACAGTTTAAAATTCAATTTTAAAATAATGATTGAAGCTACGACAAAAAAATAACATGAAAGTGGTTTTGAGCACTCTTTTGAAAAAAAATTCGAGAATTTATTATTCGCAAATCGTGTTATGTACGTAGCCATTTAGTGTATAGCTTAGTGCTAGAAGCGTTGAAGTGGTATGTGCCTAATGTCGCAAATATACTACCTCTTCTGATCTTACAAAATAAGACACTAACTAAACTATAGAGGTAAACAATGAAAGCAAAAATATTATAAGTTTCTGATGTATTTGTTCTAAATAAATTGTTATTGTTACTCTATAAAAACTAAATGCTTTTGGTGTGCTCTAGGGTTTTTCTAAATCAAGCAAAATTTATTTGGGCTTGCACTGTTTATTATTTAGGTAGGGTTGCAATAATCAAGTCTGGTTTTTATATACAGGAAAGTTCTGCATTAGCTATATTTAGAGTATATATTAAAAATGGAGTGGCATTTGATATATTTTGAGTGTTTGTTATTACGTTGTGCTGTTTTAGATAGATTTTTTTTATCTTACATTGTAAGTATGTTCACACTTGCTCATGTTTTAGCTTACATTTTAAGTATGTTCACACTAGTTCGTGTTTCAGTGATATTCTAAGTGATGTTGTACTAGCTGCATTCTGAGATAATATTTCAAGTGGTGTTGCACTAGTTACATTTCGAGTGTATAACCTAAGTAGTGTTGCACTAGCTACATTTCGAGTGTATATTCCAAGTAGCGTTTCACTGCTTATATTTCGAGTGTATAACCTAAGTGTTGTTGCACTAGTTATATTTTAGTATATACCCCGAAGAAGGGTTGCACTAATTATATTATAAGTGAATAGCCCATGTGAAGTTGCACTAGTTACATTTCAAGTGTATAACCTAAGTAATGTTGCACTCGTTATATTTCGAGTGTATAACCTAAGGGGTGTTGCACTAGTTATATTTCGAGTGTATAATCTAAGTGGGGTTGCACTCGTTATATTTCGAGTGTATAATCTAAGTGGGGTTGCACTAGTTATATTTCGAGTGTACAACCTAAGTGGTGTTGCACTAGTTATACTTCGAGTGTATAACCTAATTTTAGTAATGTTGCGCTCGTTATATTTCGAGTGTATAACCTAAGTAATGTTGCACTCGTTATATTTCGAGTGTATATTCCAAGTAGCGTTGCACTAGATGTATTTCGAGTTGATGAGCTCGTGGGGTTTTCATCTGATCACGTGATCACGACGAGCCAGAAAGTACTTAGGAGATCTGTGTGAAGTCGAGGCTGCTGGGGGTTAATGAGGGCTCAAACTTTCTGCAAAAATTATCAAATGTTTGATAAAGTGCGCAACGTAGCTCGATTGTGTATCTCATCAGTTTTTTATGACAATATTACTGGCGTTTTTTTTACGCCACTTCTTTCAACCAATCGAATTACTAATAACATTTGTTGTTAATTCTAATACATAATTTATGCCCATACAATAACATACACTCTGAGGCATTAGATTAAGATTATTTTTTTTAGTTTGAGTACTAGGTCTGATTTTAGAATCTGCTGATAATCTACTGAGTCGAGATGCTAAATCGCTTCTATCGTTTATTTATTTTTTTGTATTTAAAAAAAATTCTTCAAGAAAATAATGAAGATTTATTGACGTCTACCCCTGCGCGTCTGTCTGTGTGTGCTGCTTTATGTTCTACTTCAGTGAGTACAAACGGAAGTGACGTATTCAAGAGAGTCTTTTCATCTTACTTCTCTCTTACCTCAGTCAACTTTTTGATCTTGAAAAAAATTTATACCCTTTTGCTAAAGCGTTGCATTTTATAGTCGAAATTTTCAAGAGATAAAATATATTTTATACCCTGTAGCTGAATATTTTTTCTTAAACGTTTGACATTTATAAATAAACAATGCGTGGGGGGGGGGGGGGGGGGGGAGGTTGATGCGAATATTTTTTTGTTATCTAAATACTGAGACAACGTATGTTTATTCTCTAATGTGCGTAGCTTTTGTCTACTAAAGCAAATATCTCGATTAAGGGAGGGGGGGGGGGGGGTAGGGGGGTGGTAAGATAGTGATTCTGCTAAAAAGCATTATAAAAAGATGGCGAATACCCAAACATTGTTATGCTGATCATGAAGAATACAGTTTGAGAATACCTTGCACTTACTTTAAGTGATCAGTTACTTATTTAGTGTAAGTGTAAGTGTTCAACTGAATCTGTATTTTTTTTTAAATACAAATCTAGCAGCATCTTAGATCATTATAGAATGCTAATTAAACGTATATTATTAACGAATCTAATTCACCACATAATTATATTCTAACTACTATTACGTTACAAAGAATCCTACTAAAATGTTATCTCATAAGAAACCTACCATATCACTTTACAAACCAACCTACCATACCAAGCTACCCCACACATACACTTACCAACCCAGTTACCCCACAAGCAACCTATCATACAAAATTACAAAGCAACTCACGTACCAAGTTACAAAGCAACCTATCATGCCAAGTTACAAAGCAACCTGCCCTACCAAATTATAAAGCAACCTACCCTACTAAGTTACAAAGCAACCTATCATACCACGTTCAAAGCAATCTACCATACCACTTTACATAGCAGCCTACCATACCAAGTTACAAAACAGCCTACCCTACCAAGTAACAAAGCAACCTACCCTACCAACCTACCCTACCAACCTACCCTACCAACCTACCCTACCAACCTACCCTACCAACCTACCCTACCAACCTACCCTACCAACCTACCCTACCAACCTACCCTACCAACCTACCCTACCAACCTACCCTACCAACCTACCCTACCAACCTACCCTACCAACCTACCCTACCAACCTACCCTACCAACCTACCCTACCAACCTACCCTACCAACCTACTCTACCAACATCCCCTACCAACCTACCCTACCAACCTACCCTACCAACCTACCCTACCAACATCCCCTACCAACCTACCCTACCAACCTACCCTACCAACATCCCCTACCAACCTACCCTACCAACCTACCCTACCAACCTACCCTACCAAAATCCCCTACCAACTTACCCTACCAACATCCCCTACCAACCTACCCGACCAACCTACCCTACCAACCTACCCTACCAACCTACCCTACCAACCTACCCTACCAACCTACCCTACCAACCTACCTGATTGTCCTCTCCTCCCCACAGGTGATCTGGAGGAAGACCTCCGACCCCAACCCCCTGACCGTGGGGGAGGAATCCTTCTACAACAACGACCGCATCGTGGTGGACCACAAGCTGCACAGCAACAATTGGGACCTGGTCATCAGACAGGTCAGGCTGACCGACGCGGGGGTCTACGAGTGTCAGGTCAGCACCAAGTACCGGAACCTACGCCAGCAGGTTCTGCTCACTGTCAGAGGTAGGTTGTGTGACGTCCTGCTCACTGTCAGAGGTAGGTTGTGTGACGTCCTGCTCACTGTCAGAGGTAGGTTGTGTGACGTCCTGCTCACTGTCAGAGGTAGGTTGTGTGACGTCCTGCTCACTGTCAGAGGTAGGTTGTGTGACGTCCTGCTCACTGTCAGGGGTAGGTTGTGTGACGTCCTGCTCACTGTTAGAGGTAGGTTGTGTGACGTCCTGCTCACTGTCAGAGGTAGGTTGTGTGACGTCCTGCTCACTGTCAAAGGTAGGTTGTGTGACGTCCTGCTCACTGTCAGAGGTAGGTTGTGTGACGTCCTGCTCACTGTCAGAGGTAGGTTGTGTGACGTCCTGCTCACTGTCAGAGGTAGGTTGTGTGACGTCATAGTGTCCTGCTCACTGTTAGAGGTAGGTTGTGTGACGTCATGCTCACAGTCAGAGGTAGGTTGAGTGACGTCATAATGATCTGCTCTCTGTTAGAGGTAGGTTGTGTGACGTCCTGCTCAATGTCAGAGGTATGTTGTGTGACGTCCTGCTCACTGTTAGGGGTAGGTTGTGACGTCATGCTCGCTGTCAGAGATAGGTTGTGTGACGTCATAGTGTCCTGCTCACTGTTAGAGGTAGGTTGTGTGACGTCATGCTTACAGTCAGAGGTAGGTTGTTGACATCATGCTCACTGTCAGAGGTAGGTTGTGTGACGTCATAGTGTCCTGCTCACTGTCAGAGGTAGGTTGTGTGACGTCCTGCTCACTGTCAGAGGTAGGTTGTGTGACGTCCTGCTCACTGTCAGAGGTAGGTTGTGTTACGTCCTGCTCACAGTCAGAGGTAGGTTGTGTGACGTCATGCTCACTGTCAGAGGTAGGTTGTGTGACGTCATGCTCACTGTCAGAGGAAGGTTGTGTGACGTCATAGTGTCCTGCTCACTGTCAGGGGTAGGTTGTGTGACGTCCTGCTCACTGTCAGAGGTAGGTTGTGTGACGTCATAGTAGACTGCTCACTGTCAGAGGTAGATTGTGTGACGTCCTGCTCACTGTCAGAGGTAGGTTGTGTGACGTCCTGGTCACTGTCAGAGGTAGGTTGTGTGACGTCCTGCTCACTGCTAGAGGTAGGTTGTGTGACGTCATGCTCACTGTCAGAGGTAGGTTGTGTGACGTCCTGCTCACTGTCAGAGGTAGGTTGTGTAACGTCATGCTCACAGTTAGAGGTAGGTTGTGTGACGTCATGCTCACTGTCAGAGGTAGGTTGTGTGACGTCATGCTCACAGTTAGAGGTAGGTTGTGTGACGTCATGCTCACTGTCAGAGGTAGATTGTGTGACGTTCTGCTCACTGTTAGAGGTAGGTTGTGTGACGTCACAGTGTCCTGCTCACTGTCAGAGGTAGGTTGTGTGACGTCCTGCTCACTGTCAGAGGTAGGTTGTGTGACGTCATGCTCACAGTTAGAGGTAGGTTGTGTGACGTCATGCTCACTGTCAGAGGTAGGTTGTGTGACGTCATGCTCACAGTTAGAGGTAGGTTGTGTGACGTCCTGCTCACTGTCAGAGGTAGGTTGTGTGTCGTCCTGCTCACAGTCAGAGGTAGGTTGTGTGACGTCCTGCTCACTGTCAGAGGTAGGTTGTGTGACGTCATGCTCACTGTCAGAGGTAGGTTGTGTGACGTCATAGTGTCCTGCTCACTGCTAGAGGTAGGTTGTGTGACGTCCTGCTCACTGTCAGAGGTAGGTTGTGTGACGTCCTGCTCACTGTCAGAGGTAGGTTGTGTGACGTCCTGGTCACTGTCAGGGGTAGGTTGTGTGACGTCCTGCTCACTGTTAGAGGTAGGTTGTGTGACGTCATGCTCACTGTCAGAGGTAGGTTGTGTGACGTTCTGCTCACTGTTAGAGGTAGGTTGTGTGACGTCACAGTGTCCTGCTCACTGTCAGAGGTAGGTTGTGTGACGTCCTGCTCACTGTCAGAGGTAGGTTGTGTGACGTCATGCTCACTGTCAGAGGTAGGTTGTGTGACGTCATGCTCACAGTTAGAGGTAGGTTGTGTGACGTCATGCTCACTGTCAGAGGTAGATTGTGTGACGTTCTGCTCACTGTTAGAGGTAGGTTGTGTGACGTCACAGTGTCCTGCTCACTGTCAGAGGTAGGTTGTGTGACGTCCTGCTCACTGTCAGAGGTAGGTTGTGTGACGTCCTGCTCACTGTCAGAGGTAGGTTGTGTGACGTCCTGCTCACTGTCAGAGGTAGGTTGTGTGACGTCCTGCTCACTGTCAGAGGTAGGTTGTGTGACGTCCTGCTCACTGTCAGAGGTAGGTTGTGTGACGTCATAGTGTCCTGCTCACGGTTAGAGGTAGGTTGTGTGACGTCATGCTCACTGTCAGAGGTAGGTTGTGTGACGTCATGCTCACTGTCAGAGGTAGGTTGTGTGACGTCCTGCTCACAGTCAGAGGTAGGTTGTGTGACGTCCTGCTCACTGTCAGAGGTAGGTTGTGTGTCGTCCTGCTCACAGTCAGAGGTAGGTTGTGTGACGTCCTGCTCACTGTCAGAGGTAGGTTGTGTGACGTCCTGCTCACTGTCAGAGGTAGGTTGTGTGACGTCCTGGTCACTGTCAGAGGTAGGTTGTGTGACGTCATGCTCACTGTCAGAGGTAGGTTGTGTGACGTCATAGTGTCCTGCTCACTGCTAGAGGTAGGTTGTGTGACGTCCTGCTCACTGTCAGAGGTAGGTTGTGTGACGTCCTGGTCACTGTCAGAGGTAGGTTGTGTGACGTCATGCTCACTGTCAGAGGTAGGTTGTGTGACGTCATAGTGTCCTGCTCACTGCTAGAGGTAGGTTGTGTGACGTCCTGGTCACTGTCAGGGGTAGGTTGTGTGACGTCATGCTCACTGTCAGAGGTAGGTTGTGTGACGTCATAGTGTCCTGCTCACTGCTAGAGGTAGGTTGTGTGACGCCATAGTGTCCTGCTCACGGTTAGAGGTAAGTTGTGTGACGTCATATTGTCCTTCTCACGGTCAGAGGTAGGTTTTGTCGTAGAGTACTGCTCACATTTATTGATAAGTTTTGTCACGTCAGAGTGTACTGCTAAGTATTGACTACTTTTGCACAGCTTATTGTTGGAGATGTGGTATAGGACGTCCTCCCTCACGCTAGCAATCATCTATATTACCTCACACACACGTCACAATTAGGCTTACTTAATGTATTGAAATGTATTGCAAGTAAAAAACATCTATTAACCCAAGCAGGTATCCAACTATTTCGGCAACTAATTGTATTTTAGCTGCTTTAGCATCTTATTCCTGTACACGTTATATTCCACCCACGAACTCTAAATAAACATGAACAAAATATTCCCAAAAAACTCAACCTATCTTTGGTCATCATAACCTTCATGACTGTCATACAATACTCCAGTAAATAAGATCAAACTTTAATGTCGCGCTAATTAAAATTTAAATTTTTGAGAAACAAATGTAAAATATCAGTTTTTGTTGTTTCGAAATAGCGTTTATAGTTTCGTTGATTGGTGATTATATGGTTTTATTTTTTGTTTCGTTTCAGAAATTCCAACCAATACGACAACAGTACCGAGACCACGTGAGTTCTATTTTTAGTTTGTCAGCTTGAAGGATTAAGTGCGATCTAATTTTGTCATGTGTCTTGTGATTTAATTAAACTTTTAACCCTTTAAGTCTGATCAATTATTTATTTTCAAATCCTTTTTAATCTTTATTTTGATTAAAACTCCAGGCTGCTTTAAATTAGACATTCATATTGTTGTGGTTTGAAAAAATTTAACTTTAAGAAGTTCAAAATAATTGGCGACAGGATTGGATTTCTAAAGTTTTTTTACAGATCCTTCTTTAATAATGTCTCACATTATACATGTATGTATGTATGTATATATATATATATATATATATATATATATATATATATATATATATATATATATATATATATATGTGTGTGTGTGTGTGTGTGTGTATGTACAGGGGCATAGTGGGGGGGGGGGGGGGTGCGGACCATTTAGGGGGGTGACACCAAGGCAAAAAATAGCTAAATTTATAGAGAAAAATGATAATTCCACTTTATTAAGTGATTAATTCGAGTGTTAAATAGTCTTTTAAGAGGTGCAAATCGAAAGTTTGAGGGGGAGGGGGGGGTGCAAATAAAAAATTGAAATATTGAAGTTTGTCCCCGGGAAGGGTCGTTACGCCTCAGGGGGATGACGCCCGACCTCGCTACGCCACTGTGTATGTATGTATGTATGTATGTATGTACTTTTGGGACTGAATGTGTTTTCTGAGATGTAGTGTTGTTCGCGTCCATCACCCTGTCTATACATATGAGAGTATATTGACTATTAAATTGCTTGCCTGTTGGCAAGTATGTCATTTGTATTGAAGTTAATTAGAAAATTGTAACGAGTGGTATAACTCCGAAATAATTGTATAGTTCTTATATCATCGAGAAAGTATCTTCTTTGAGTGTTATACCTCTTAGATTTGTATTTAGTTACATTCAGTTTTTTTTTTTGTTTTTTTACCTTCAAAATCTCTCTATAGTGCTGATTTGTGTATTAAATAATAAAGCTTTAGTAATGTTTTTGATTTCTTCAACTCTAAACATTGTCCTTTCTCTGATTTAAGATTCCAACTTCCTAGCTCTGTAGATTGTTATATCTTTAATATCTGCCCTGAATTTCCAACTCTCAAGTCTGAACTCTGTAGATTGTTTTATCTTTGATATCTGCCTTACGTTTTCCCAACTCTGAGCTCTAAACTCTCTGAAGCTTTCACACTTGGGCTACAGACGTAGGCCAGAGCTAAAAGACTGAAGTTCCTTCCCGCCAAAAACGTACCACTTCCGCTCTAGAGAGCTGTTTATTTTGGGACACCGTCCACCGTGAGCTTTCTTTCAGTCCTCTCAAGCTATCGTCTAATTGCTTGTCAACGGTCTAGTGAACTTACGAGAAAACTGTATTAGACTTTACTAGAGTAGACCATCGAGTGTAGAGAAGTTTTAAAGAACTTTTTTCTTTCTATAATTTAAAATCTTGGACTAGTAGAAAAAAAAACATTTTATTCGAATTTTAAAAGTTTTTTATCAAACAATTTAAAGAGAAAGAATGCCAAAAAAGATACAAAACTATACACATAAAAACGATTAAAATACAGTGGAGATTAACTGCGTTTATATGTACGTTTATGTGTGTTTCTGGAGGTGTATGTGTATATTATATGTGCCCGTATGTATTTCTGTGATGTATCAATGAACGCTAGTTCAAGTAAGTTACGAAATGCTCCATTTCGTCCGAGTCAGCAATTCCAACAATTATTTACAAATTTTTTGTGTATTTAACATAGTAACACAGCCAGACGTAGGCATAACTTATAACTGACAGTTTTTATGAACTAACCATACATACACACTAAACGATAAAGGTTATTAGTTATATAATCTTAATATTTTACTGCTAGAAATACAGCTATTTCCCGTGTATGATATTTATCCTGTTTTTTCACACGCGGAGTAGCAGTCTAAAATTTCATCTACCGCTAGCTTCTCTCTCTGTTTAAGTAATAATATCCGTTTTGTTTTCCTTATGCCCGCTAACAGACTGGTAAATATTTTCCTAAGCATATTGATAATCATTGCGTTAGCATCAGACTCTCCACTGTCTGACATAAAAATTGAACGTCTATGGATTTAACATGTGGGAAGGGAAATTATTTTTCATTTGGTATCAAAGGGCAGGTGGTTTTGTGTTGAAATTAAGATAGGAAAGATGAGGGGGATTGTTAAAAAGATGTAAAAAGAATTGGACCGGTGGGATGAGGCTGTATGTACCTGTGAAGATGAGTACATGCACTCAGAGTCGGGGCTAATGTCTTTATCTAAAGACAGAATGTGCATACAATATGCATTTACCTGCACATACAACAAGCATTGACCTGCACGTACAACAAACATCTACCGGCACATACAATATATATATATATATATATATATATATATATATATATATATATATATATATATATATATATATATATATATATATATATATATATTTGCACATACAACATGCATCTACCGCTAAGTAAAACAAATATCTACCTGTATGTATAAAATACATCTACCTCCAAATACAACCTTAATCTATTCGAACATACAACATACATCTACGTGCCTGATATGTCGTGTCCCTATATAAATGAGAAATAGCGGCTATAAAACTAAAAATGTTAACATCAAGAATGGATGCGTATGATCGAGTGAACTCGCGAACCAAGCTACCTCTACATCTCACAAAAAAGGTACTAGCCACTAACTCACCACACCTGTAAGACACCCTCAGTAACTCAAACTACATTCTCTTCTTTGTAAGCCCTCACTCCATTTTAGAAATCTCATCTACGCAAGGCATGGGATATAAAAATACCAGGACCAACGCGGGTGGGTTTAACACAAAAAAATCACTGCGAACGAACTATTGCTTTTTGAACAAAAATGTCATTGCAAAGGGAAGTTTTTTTTATTCTTGAATGTATAAAATTATAAATAAATAGGTAACAATATAACAGGTAATGGAGCATTGGCAACGTTATAGGAACCCAACAGTACCTGGTACAGGGAATCGTAACAAGGGATAAAAGAAACAACAGTATTCACAGTTCATGTCTCTCACCTAGGCCTCTAAGTGGGTAGATAAGTACAGGATTAGTTTACCCAAGATCTCGTCATCAGTGATGAATCCTATTGTACCACCACCTCCCCCATCCTAGCGTCATTGTTGATTTTTTTTATCTTAATGAGTTCCCAACGTATTCACAAGTACACTGCACCTTCAGTATGGCACTAGGGTACCTGCTGATTTAATTAACGCCGTCTGACAAGACACCTGAGAAGATGGTTATAAATGAATGACCTCTGAGTCAGGTCATGGCGATCATTTGTTTCACAGTTGCTTCTAGTTTTTTATTGGTTTCAGCCTTAATCAAATTCTCTACTTCCTCCGTGCGCTACATTAACTCTGTTACTTATACAGCTGCGGTTGCGTCTTATAGATAACTACACACATTGTCAATAATGATAACAGTCATATAGAAATATTGGATACGTATTTATATCTACTGTGTAAGCTTTTCAGACATAACTATATAACCCGAAAGTCTCGAGTTTGAATCCGGGCTTAAGTCAGTAGAACGTCCTTGAGTCTACCCAGCTCTGATGGGTACCTGACTCACGCTAGGGTAAACAAATGCGGCTGGGCTTAGTGTTAACAACACTATCCCTTCATAGGTTGAGGTCTCTGAAACAGATGAACTCTACTTCATCTATCCCATGTGTCTATTCCATATATATATATATATATATATATATATATATATATATATATATATATATATATACATATATATATATATATATATATATATATATATATATATATATATATATATATATATATATATATATATATATAAATATAAATATATATATATATATATATATATATATATATATATATATATATATATATATATATGTGTGTATATATATATATATATGTGTGTGTGTGTGCGTGCGTGCGTGTGTGTGTGTATGTGTGTGTGCGTGCGTGTCACATGGGAAGGGCGAACCCAGTTCACACGTACTGTTCTAGCACGTAATCCCGCGCACCGTATCAAGCCACAAACCAGCCAGTGAAAACTGAATGAGTTCAGGACTCCGTGCTGCCACTACATCCATGGCGCCTGCAGACATCGACAGCCAGACCTGGAACGGCAGACGACCTTAACTTCTGGTCAGGGTGTGTGCTGACGTCACCGTTCCGTTGACAAGTTAGCTTTATCGTCGGTTGGTTAGGGTCAGAGGTTGTATGATGGAATCTTAAGTTGTGTAGGTTCATAATTGTGTTGTTGTAGTGTGTTAGAATATATATTTTAGTTGGGTAGTATTATAAGTATCCACCCAGCTCTGATGGGTACCTAACTCACGATATGGAAAGTAAAGCCGGCTGGGCATAGTGCTGACCACACTTTCATATGCCGAGGTCACAGGAACAGGTCAACTCTATATCACTTGCCCCATGGGGGGGGGGGGTCTTCCATTAATGACGGCACACTCGTATGGGAAGGGGGGATCTGTAATTTTATGACGGTGTGTGATGAAGGGAGGGGGGGGGGGGGCGGGTCAGATGGTGTGACGTCACACTTTTGCAGTATAAAAAAACAATGTTAGAAAACAAAGTGTTGCCGTTTTTTCGCATTTTAGAAAACTGTTTTAATAAAGCGAAATAGGAATTGATTAAAATACTCTCAGTTGACAGAGTTCAGACAAGATTTTGGAAAAATATCGTTTTTTAAGAAAATTTCAACTACAATTTTGAGGGGGGGGGGGGGGGGGTGTAGGCTAAAGTGTGACGTCATTTTATGGGGGAGGGGGGGTCTGGCTTTTTGTGACGATGTGTGACGGAAGGGAAGGGGGGAGGTAAAAATCGTCAAAAAAAGTGTGACATCAATTATGGATGACCACATAGACCGTCAGGTTAGGGAACTCGACTGGTGTTAATAGTGTGAGAGTGGTGC